AAGCTGATCAGGCAAAGCTATGTCCTTATTTAGTGTATGGGGTAGAGGCAAAGGCTAGGAATACACACACACACACACACACACACACACACACATGCACGCACACAATTATTTTCAACCCCCATCACAAATGTGGGAGAGGAAGGGACCTGAGCTTGAGGCATCAAATGTAATGATAGAAAAGAATTATGGAGGTGCCTGGGTGGCTCAATCAGTTAAGCGTCGGCCTTTGGCTCAGGTCATGATCCCAGGGTGCTGGGGTTGAGCCCTGTGAGGGGCTCCCTGCTCAGTGAGGAGTCTGCTTATCCCTCTCCCTCTGCCTCACCCCCCAGCCCTTGCTTGTGCTCTCTCTCACTGTCTCTCAAATAAATAAATAAAATCTTAAAAAAAAAAGAATGATGTGAGAGACTATGGACTCTGAGAAACAAACTGAGGGTTCTAGAGGGGAGGGGGGTGGGGGGATGGGTTAGCCTGGCGATGGGTATTAAAGAGGGCATGTACTGAATGGAGCACTGTGTGTTATACGCAAACAATGAATCATGGAACACTACATCAAAAACTAATGATGTAATGTATGGTGACTAACATAACATAATAGTAAAAAAAGAATAATGGATCGGAGAAGTGTTTCTAAAATAGAGCTATAACACTTGATGATGAATGGAAAAGAAAAGAGGAAGGAGAGGAAAGGGACAGATATGGTTCTGAGGTCTTAAACATGAGACTGAGTAAAGGTCACGGTATTGGACCTGTGGATGTGTTAGGGAGTGTAGGGAGCGGCAGGTTGGGAGGGCAAGGAGTGGGCGGTAGGGATTTGGTTTAGGCAGGTGTGCATGGATCACGAGTTGGCTTTTGGTCATCTTGCATCTAAAGTGATAACTAGGACATCCAAATGGAAGTAATCAACAGGTGGTTAGGTATATGTGAAAGAGGTCAAGGGAGTAAAAGATAAAGTTTGAAAGGTATCTGTATATAGGTGAGAGCTGTGGAGACAGACCTCAATTTTCTTCCTAAAGATACACATGGATGAAGAAAATGATTCTAGGACAGAGTAATAAGAGGAAGGATCCAACGATAGTCTGCAGGAAGATGAAGAATTTACAAAAGAAACATGGGAAATAGTTTTCCAATCTAAAAGACACCTTCAGATAACTCAAGGGAAGAGTTGGTTTTAGGAAAATGGTGGGTGGATACAACCCCACTCACCCATTAAACTGTGTTTACAAGGGACTATTTAATGACAAGGGGAAAATTCTCATGATACATTTATTGAAAATTATTTAGAAAATTGTATGTAGCATCCCAGTTACAAACACACACACACGCACACGCACATGGCGGGAGAGAGAGAGGGAAGGAGAAATTATAACAAAATGTGTAGAGTGTTTATTTCCAGGTGGTGGGATTTTGGGTGATTTTTTTTAGAGATTTTTATTTATTTATTGAGAGAGATAATGATAGAGAGAGAGCATGAGAGGGGGGAGAGTCAGAGGGAGAAGCAGACTCCCTGCTGAGTGGGAGCCCGACGTGGGGCTCGATCCCAGGACTCCAGGATCATGACCTGAGCCGAAGGCAGTAGCTTAAACAACTGAGCCACCCAGGTGCCCTGATTTTGGGTGATCTTAATGAAAAAGAATGTCATTATTTAATCGTAAATAAAAAGAAATTTTAAATTTTTATATTTGTATCTTTTACAATTTATATGATGAGTGTACTTTATTCTGATTATTAGAAGAAAAGTCATTTTATTGACATCAGTTAGAAGAAGAATAAATAATGTATACGCAACATCATCTCAGTTAATGCCCACAAATATGGAATAGAATAAGCAGTATGGTCCCCTGTTTCCTGATAAGGAAACTGACTCTGAAAGAGATGTAGGAACTTGTGTCAGTCACATAGTAAGTGATGGAGCTAAGATTCTAATCTGGTGTTTTTTAAGGCACAAGCTACATATACATATCCAGCTAAAATGTCATGTCAAATGAGGGGAAGAAGTTGGCTGTGCAAACTATACATTAAGAAAAGACATGTGAGGGCACCTGGGTGGCTCACTCGGTTAAGCATCTGCCTTCAGTTCAGGTCATGATCTCAGAGTCCTGGGATTGGGCCCCGGTCAGGCTCCCTGCTCAGCAGGGAGTCTGCCTGTACCTCTCCCCCTACCCCTCCCTCTGCTCATGTTCTCTCTCTCAAATAAATAAAATATTAAAAAAAAAAAAGACATGCGGCAAGAAGGAAGGTACCAATGGCTTGCAAGTGTAGAGTTTCCATGGGATAGCAAAAGTGAAAAGCAATTTTCTTTCTTGATGAGAGGGGACTGGTGGTGGGGAGATGGAGGCAGATTTAGGGCACTTGATAAGAAGTGTGACAGCTTACGAGTCAAGACAGCTCAGGCCAGGCTGGGGTAAAAGACAGCCATCATCTCATGGTGTAGAACAACAGAGGTTTATACCTTGCTTATGTGATGTGGGTTGGCCTTGGGCTTCATTGTGGTCACTCTGAGACTCAGGCTGAAGGAGACATCATCTGAAACACAGTTCACAAGGAAAAGGGAAGGTCGGGCTTAAGTACTAGCACTTAAATGCTTCTACCTGGAAATGACAATGATTTTATTGGCCAAAGCCTCACCCCTATTAAAACAGAGGGGCAAAATGTGGCCCTACCATGTGCCCTAAGGAGGAGAACTGGAATATTGTGAACCACCCTAATGACCACCACAACAGGGAAAACATTTCTTGCTTTTTAACGCTCCTGCTTTGGTAGCAAAGGAAATAGTTTGCAGAACTCTAGGTGTTTAACACAGGAGGTATCATAGGCATCACTAGGAAACTAGGACTCAAAGAATCAAGTGATCATTTGTACAAAGTCATAGAGAGAAACAGTGGCTGTGTGAAGACTAGAACTGTGTATCTGAGGCCAGTGACCCCAGTGGTCCTCAACGTACAATACTCACTGCCCTGGGATATGTGAATTTGGAGGAATCGTAGTCCTTGGCCTGGGAAACTATTGGAGACTCTGCTTGCCATGTGTTGAGAATAGCAGTCTCACCTCATATTAGGAGTTCCTGATGCTGGCAGCCAGTGACATCTCCATCAGTAAAAACTCTGGACTGCATCTCTTAGGTGCCCAGGTTTCTCTAGGTGGTTATTGCTGAAATGACCAAGGAAGACTGCAAGTCATTACTCTAAAGTATAATTGTTAAAGTTGGGTTAATATAAAACTAGCTGGGGCTGGCCCCAAGCAGTAAAGTAGCGGGTGAACTAAGCACTGGGAAACCCAGTTGAGTATCTCTGTGTCTGTAGATTGCAGACAGATCAGCTTCAACTTAATGAGAGAGAGATTTAGCAGGTGAGAATCCTGGATAGTCTCCCTCTTCTCTGAGATCAATAGTGCATTTTGAATAGAGAGTGATTTATGAAAGGAAATGGGGTCATGAGGACACAGTCCATCTCATAGAGGGTTGGGCAAACTGAATCTGAGTTGGCACTTGGAATGACCATAATTTTGATCTTTTTTTACACTGCTATCAAAAATGGGGGGGGGGGGCAGGAAAAATATCTGTTTCAGGCTCACCAAGCATTGCTTTGTAGAATGGCTGCTAGTCATATTTATAATATTCTATAAATTTATATGAGAAATAAATATTACAATTGCTTTTTAAATTTTGTATATTTCTAAAATTAAAGAATAAAACTATTCTACAATTAGGCAGGTGTGGTTCTGGGACTTTCATGGTTAACCCTCATATTCCTTGCTTTTTAAACTGTTTTTGGTTTCGGCTTTGATTTACATTATATGGTCATCAAATTCCTCTTTTTATCAGGGAAAAATGGAGGGCTTTCTGAATCTTAAAAGCATGTAATTTACCTTGGATGTGAACTATAATGCTTATTCTGAAAAAATTCCATGTAAAACTGAAGAAATTGTGTAGAAAGTCTTTATGAATTGGAACCTAACATGTCATTGACACATTTGGAAGGGTGTTCTGTTGACTTTAGTGATGGATGATCCCATTCTGCCAAGTTCAGCTGGAAGGGGGGTGACTTAGAAACCCAAATACCAACGCTGGAATCTAGAAACTTCCTGGAACCACGGTTTTAAGTCAGCAGGGTGGATGCGGCCCGCCTCTGTGCAAGGGATGACATTTCACTGGCTTGCTCCACGGAAGTCTCTGGAACAGAACCGTAAACACCAGCTCTCTTTGTTGCGTGTTGGCTTTTAAAAGCCCCCAATGGTTTGGGGAGGATAAGGCCTTGCCTTGGGGCTCCCTGGGTCCAATTTTTTGGGACCTGGCTAAAAATCCTGGATATTTGATAGTCTAGCTTATTTCTATGGTGTATTAGCACCCTATAAAAGTTACATGTCATTTATTTCAAGTTTAGAACCCTCTCAAACTTCAGGGGCAAACCAAACTTGAACCTTTTGTGGCTGAAATTCTGTTTACCTTTGGCCAAACCTTGCTTCCTGAATGTGAGGCAGGGAGGTGAGGTGAGAGGGGGCTCCCGAGGCCCCTTGGACATCAAATCACTTTTGCCAAACAACGCTTTGATAGGTTAAAACGTGAATGAATCTGAAACACATAGATTAACTTCCTGTCAGAATACTCTGGGGCCTACACACAGAAGTATATTGTGCTGGGCAAATGCATTTTGAGTGTTGCCTTCTGCCTACTATGAGCAGTATCTGAGATTTTTGCCAAACACAGGTTGAAATTGGGTCAAGCTTGTTACCTTCCACTTGTAATAAATATATTAAAAAGTTTCCATAAAGGTTATGGGACAATCCAATTGAATGAGGACCCTGGAGAAATTTGGACATTTCTTGTGTTTGAAACATTTACTTTCAACCAGTGACAAAGAAAGAATGGACTCTAAGATACAGTGCCCAGATCAAGGATGGCTATGATTCCTTTGTGTCTGTTGTCGGAATACAGGCTAGCAAGGAAGGCCTGGTGCTTGAATGAAGGAGAAATAACACACCACGTTCCACGTGCCTTTCAGATAGAGGAACTGATGAATGCATTGGAGAAGACCCGACAGGAACTGGATGCCACCAAGGCACGCCTGGCCTCCACGCAGCAGTCTCTGGCTGAAAAAGAAGCGCATTTAGCCAACCTCCGGATAGAAAGGAGAAAACAGCTGGAGGAGATCCTGGAGATGAAGTGAGTACCCATTTTTGTTTTCCTGGTTTCTCTTTTCTAACTTTCCTTTAGGGATGGGGAAAGGAAGGCTAGAGAAGACAAAGAAAGAGCTTGAAGAAAGAATAATTTAGCCAACACTTAACTATTCATTTCCATGACTATGCTTCTTATGTTTTTTAATTATAGCTTCCATGTCCCAATTTGCACATTTTTCATATCTGTTATTCAAAAAAAAAATCCAGCATTAAATTTTGTGCGTCTGTGTTTTGTGGACGACGCTGTTATTCTTAGATTTGTCTCAAAGGTCTGAACTGGCCAAGAGACAGAGGCCTCGTTAAGCACAATAGTAATTTGAGTGCTGCTCAGAGTTAAGTGGAAACTTTTCTGAGGAGGTATTTCCTAATTGTGACTATAACTTTGCTAATTATATTCTTTTCACATGTGTACAATGCGTTGCTTGTGTTGGCTTTCATAGAGTCTCAAGGTTGGCACCTCTTTGTTTAGAAAGCAAGGACTCTGATTTGCTGGTCTGATAAAAACAGACTTGGAAATCCCCCTGCCCCCTCCTCCCCCTCACCCCAGGGTAGGGTAGGTGAGGGGTATGGGGAGACTGGAACCAATCTCTTTCTTTGATTTAATCAATAAAGTGTGGCCTCATGCTGGGCAATGATCCTTCCTGTGGGCCCGTGACACCCATCTCCACCTAGCTCTTATTTCGTTCTTACAATGAAATATCACCATGGAAGAACATAGGAAAGAAAATTACTCAAAGATTTTAGAAACAATCACTTGGCTATGGATCTATTCCTAAAGAAGTAGGCAAGAAGCAGCATCTCTCTATATAAGTTAAGATAATCACTAAGATATAATTTAACTTCCTTCCACAATAAGGGAAATGTACATAATTATGGCATCTTAAGCCTGTAACATAGACTTTGAAATTGGTGGCTAGGTATGGAAGCATGACCTTATCCTGACCCCACAAGTCTTACACATGGTTAACATTAAACCCAGAAAGCTTAGATCATGGAAAATATGGAATGAAATATTTTGAAGGATTTAATAATGAGGACAGGACTTTTATTACTTGTCAACTACCTCAGTTTCTTCAAGACCAAAGAATAAGTAGTTTTTTTATACATAAACTTGCATTTTTCCTAATAAAATAATACATAATAAAAACAGATATTATTATCCTCAGTTTAGAAGTGAGGGAACTGAGATTCAGAGAGATTTCAAGTAATTTGCTTAAGGCCATTGGCCAGCATTAAAACTGAAATCTTCTACCTCAAGCTCCCTTTTCTACTGTCTTATTTTCTCATGGAGCTTATGTGAATTCCACCAAGCCTGGAACTTTCATCAGTTTGAGTCACCGTGGTTATCTTACTGCCTAGAACAGTGCCCAGCATATGGTAAACGCTCAGTAATTGCTTATTGAATGAGTGAATAGATTGAATGTGAAGACTGGATTTTATGTAGCTAAGAAGAAAAGTATTTCAAACATCTGTGACATTACCAGCTTGATCAATAATTTATTAACAATAGCAGTACATTGATTCCATCAAGCTTTATTCTTTTCCATTCACCAGTCCCACTTCTGCCACCTTGTATGTTGTGATGTGTGATGTTCAGCCTAGTTTCTCTCATTGTTCTCCAGCTATTCCCAAGTTAACTCTATCTCTTGGAGTGATTTATTATGCCTTTGTAGGGAAACTTCCATTACTTCCTGTTTATAAAAAGGACATATACTTTCAGCGTTTTGGGAGAGCAAGTAATGGTGAAGCACACTGATTTGGGAGTCATCAGATCTAGGTTGGAATCCTATTGCTTCCACTTGGCGGCGGTGTGATTTAGGGGAAATGACCTTAAGATCGCTGGCCCTTCTGTTTCCTTCTATAATGACTTTCGTGGAGTGTTTGAGAGGAGAGGCACTCAGGAGGACTTGGCCCATGGAAAATGATATATGTGTGTAAATGACACTATCAGCCAATGAAAATATGTCATTTGTTTAGTATACTTTGTGAAGAGTATCATTTATCTAAAATTTGGATTTATTTTTCTTAAACATATAAACCTTTTCTGTGTGTATGTTTTCCCACTTAATTTCATGATTTCAGATAGCACCTAACTAAGACCTCTTTTGGTGAATTGCCACATTATTGCTCAAGTGCTTAATCTTCTGCCACTGCAAAATAAATACAGAATTCTTCTGTTAATTCCTTTGGTAAAAGTAACAAAGCCCTGCTTCATTAAGCCCAATATGGACCCTATTCACCATTTAACTGGCCCAGAAGCGCCACTTATGGGCTCCTTCCCAGGACTATGTGGGCACAGGTACAGGGCAATTATATTGACCAACAACCCCAGTTAGATTCAGGAGCCTCCTGGGCTGTTCAAGTCAACCAATTGGTTTGATCAATCTTGATTTTTAAGCCGAGTTGACATATGGTTACACAAATTTGTACATGTGATGAAATTACATATGGTTACTGGACATTAACTGAGTCAACATAAGTTAGTAGAAAAAAATCAGATGGGTATATCCCTGTCAGTGTTTACTATCACTCTGTGCCAAGGATTATTGGTTTTCTTTTTTTTTTTTAAGATTTTATTTATTTGAGAGTGAGAGAGAGAGAGAGAGCTCGAACAGGGGTAGGGGCAGAGGGAAGCAGACTCTCCTGCTGAGCAGGGAGACTGACGTAGGGCTCAATCCCAGGACCCTGGGATCATGACTTGAGCTGAAGGCAGACGCTTAACTGACTGAGCAGCCCAGGTGCCCTATTGTTTTTCTTTCAACTTGGCAGGCATCATGTAAGCAACTTTAGGTGAAGTCTATCTATTTCCAAACCCTGTGGGAAGGGGGAGGCTGTACAGTATTAGAGGACGGAGGGGTGGGGCCATGAATCAAGAGAAAGGAGGTGGGATATGTTAACTTACCCATAACATGAAGGAGATCACTCCCTGGTTACCTCAGTTTTCTCTTCAGTAACATGGAGGTGATAATAACGACCTTGCCTACTTTATAGAATTGTTGTACAGGCAGGATTTTTTTTTTAAAGTACTGAACTGAAATGAATATAAATCAGCATATGTGAAAGTGCTTTGAAACATAAAAGGGGCTTTTGAAATGAAAGGTGGTGTCTGTTAAATTTGTTGTAAAATCAAATGGCACAGAGTTTTAAAATTGGAAAGCAGCTGGGTCCAACCTCCCAGGGTGCATAAACCAGACTCCTATCCACATAATTACTAATAGGGAATTCACCAGGCCCTGGTGAACACCATTCCCACTGGAAGTCATGGGCACTTACAGGTACCTCACTGGTACTTAAATGGAACCGAAATGGCTTTCCATGTAATCTTCCCACTTTTCTTGGTTTTTGTTCAGAGCACACAGAATTCACCTGAGCCCCATACACAGCACAGACAGCATTTTAGATATTTCTTCTGGTAATAATAGTGTTCATTTCAGAAAAGAATAATTAAGAAATATGAAGAAGCAAAATTAAAAAGAAAATCACCTATGATCCTACCACACAGAGACATACACTGATGGCATTTTGGTGCAAACCTTTACAAATACTCTTTACTTTTTTTTTTCTTTTTTGCTTCTCTATTTTTTTTAACACAATTCAATTGTACTCTCATATTTTGTAAATCCTGCTTCTTTTGCTTACTGAATGGTGAACACCCTTCCATGTTATAAACATAGAATTGTATTATTTTTAATCTCTTAACATAATGTCATGTAGGTTCACTTCTTTATTGGACATTTATCTTAGTTCTTATGTTTTGCCAATATAAAGAATGTTTTGATAAGCATTCTTCTGTTCTATTTTGTTAACTTATTTTTAAGTAATTATAGTTTGGTATGCAGTTACAAGAAATCATTTTCCTCAATGGTAAAATCTTGCATAATTATAAATTATAGCACAGTATCACACCAAGAAATTGATATTGGTACAATTTACCAACTTTATTCAGATTTCTCTGGGTTTACATGCACTCGTGTGTGTGTATGTAGTTATATGTAATTTCATCACATGTATAAATTTGTGTAACCACTGTCACAGTCAAGATATAGAACTGTTCCATCATTACAAAGATCCCTTGTGCTACCTTTTGATAGCTACCCCCACAACCCAGCTGTTTCATTTATCCCCAGAGTTTTGTTATGTGTTATATCATTCTGGGACATGTGCCATACTTGTCTATATTTTTCCCTCCCATTCTCCTGGAGCAGGGCAGGGCAGTTTAAATTTAGACTGAATTTAGAATGAGAAAATATTGCTTGATTCCTCTAATTTAAAGATTTCTCATGAGTTGGTTTTATTTTATTTATAATGGAATTTCTTTTTAATATTGGATATCTAGAACCTGTCATGTGGTAGGCATTTTATAAACTTTTGAGGAATGAAAAGATGAATTAGCTAAAAAATTCATATTCACTGAGTACCTTCTATGTGACAGGTACTGTTCTAAGTGAACAAACAGAAAAATCCCACCTGATCAAGCTTACACTTTAGTAAAATGAGAGGAGGAAATGAATGAACTAATAAAGAAGCAAGTAAATGAATAGATAGATGAGAAAAATAGTTTTTTCCTATAACCAAAGAAATTTGGAATCCCACTTAGAAAGCTATTCCAAAGGTAAGGACCGTTGTAGCTCTTTGGGGTAAAGAGGGACATGGAGTATTCAGTGTAACTTCCTAAGACTGAGAACCCTTTTAGGAACCGAGGTCAGAGGAGAGCCTTTGACTGTATTTCATGTAGGATTCTTCCCCCCAACACCTCCCCATTTAGTTTGGTCTTTATTGGTTAGTTTAATTGCCAGTCATTATTCTCACACTGGAAGGAACTAACAGTCCCCATCCCTGCATTAAAAAAAAAAAAAAAAAAGATTTATTTATTTGAGAGAGAGAGAAAGTGTGTGAACCAGTGGGGGGAGAGGCAGAGGGAGAGAGAGAAAATCTCAAGCAGACTCCCCACTGAGCGTGGAGGCTGATGTGGGGCTCAATCTCAGG